ATCTCTGTTAACTTGAGCACTTCAGTATGTGATAGGTTTTGTTTGTTTGTTTCACTTACTTTGGGTTTAGACACTTCGGGGCTGTTTCGCTTCCATGCCTCATTGTAAGGATCTGATTTGTTCTGTAGTTGTGTTGCTCCTCATGACAGAGTTTTACCCAGTCAGCAGCTTCACCATTAATATTTACTTGGAAGGCTTTAGTCAGGACTGTTCCCCAACCTCCTTACTCCTTGTTCTTCCTGATGATGGTCACATTGCTCGGGGTGTCCGTCCAAGTTCAAACGCTTAGCTGAGAGCCCCAGCAAAACTTCATCCCAGATGTCCGATCCTGGTTGTGTCCTGGATCCTTTGCCCCCTGCCTGTGGGTGAGCACTAGTGAACCAGTAAATATTTCTTTAGAGCAACAATTAGCTGATTGTTGTCTTGTTCTTATGGAGCAGAACCAAAGTGACATCCTGCATTATTCTGGGAACAATTACAAAATCTGATTTCCTCTCTTGAGTTCAAAATTCCTGCAGTATAATTGCATAAAGAATTTGATACAGGCTCTTCATCTTTTCTCTCTTGGAGTGATTTAAATTATTGCACAACAAAAGGAAATGTAGAATGCGAAATTTGGGCCACAATTTTGGTATTGTTATCACACATAAAAGTATACATGCAGAGTAAAACTTCTAATGGGTGGCAAATTCAAAATTCTTTAAAGAACACACATTGGAAAAAGTAGTTGGGCTCAGGCCCGGGGCTTCGATCCCTGGGCTTGCCATGCCAGCCCCACCCTCAGGGCGCTCTGAGATGTCAATTGAGACTGGGTGTGGGGGCGTGTGCCTATAATCCCAGCTCTTGGGAGGCTGTAAACAGGAGAATCACTAAGAGTCTGATCTAGTAGTGAGACCCTGAACACCCTGTAGACCCTTCCCTAAAATTAAATAAATAAATAATAAATAATTTTTAAAAATAAAAAAAATATTTAAAAAGTAGTTGGATCCACTACACATTTACCAAGTCTTGTCAACTTTTCAAATAAGTAAGCCAGATTATTGTAGATGTGATCTGTTTCAAGTTATGAAAAAAAGGAGAGCTGAGAAGGATTGCACCACAAGGACTGGGGAGGAATATTTTAATAAAAAAAGATGCAACATGGAAAAAATAGGAAGATAGTACTACTGAGTATGACTTTCATTCATTTTATCAGCATTTCTTGACAGTGTTAGAGAGAGACATACACAAAAGGGAGAGAGAGAGAGAGAGAGAGAGAGAGAGAGAGAGAGAGAGAGAGAGAATATGGATGTAAATTTAAGATACTAAAATTTGCCTGCCTATGGTATAGGCTTAACTAATGTTTGTTGAATAAACACAACAGGGCTACTTTAAACTCCAAGTACTGCAAATAGAACATTAAACATGTTAAGTTCAATTACACAGATCTTCCTTCCATTGGCAACTTTTTCTCCTCCTATAGAAACTTCCCAGCTCCCATTTGCAGTACTACTCCTAAACCTGACACCCACCCTGGATAAAGCTGATATTAATAGGTGGTGTTGATTCTGAGTGGCTGACACCCAGGTAGTGCTTGCTGTTCACCATGGCGCTATAAATGGCATTGCTGCATTTGTACATTCGTATCCAGCAAAACAGCTCATGGATATAGGAGGTACAGTAAAGCACTGAGTTGTTGGCCCTGAAAAATCTGCTTAGCTGCTGGAGAGCTGTGTTAGATCTTCATACCACAATAATGCGTTCAAGCAAGAAAGCCTTAAAAGTGAAAAAATTCACTTTACAAATGCAAGTAGGAAAAATACCTGATTTTCCACCAAACAATATGAATCAAAGGGAAAGATCAAGATATATTTTGATATATTTGTCTAGTCAATTATTTAAAATTTTGGGTATCAAAATTCATGAACAAAATGTAAGTCAGAGAGCAAAATGGGAACACATTGCCACAATTACAATAAATCACTAATTTGAGGGCTTTATGTAAGTAGATTAAAGAAGTACTTAAGGTTCCTACAGAAAAATGGGCAACAGATATTAATAGATAATTTACAGAAAAGAAAATGGCTAATAAGCACTAACCTCATATAAACACAAAGAAAATAACAAAATCTTTTATTAAATAAGAAAAGGGTTTTCTGACAATGATAGTTGTTTTTACTAGAGAAAGTGGGAAAGGTAGTACTATTTACATGGTGTTGCTAGCACTGGAGATTGCTACAACTTCTAAAAATCAATTTGACAATATACTTCAAAAATATTAAAGACATTCATAGAAATGTATTCTGCAAAATACCCAAACTCAAGGATTTATGTATTCAGATTTTCATTTTAGCATGGTATAAAATACCAAAAACGGGTCCACAAATATTCAACAATAGAGAATTATGTTATATTGATGTGATGTAAAATTAGACAGTCACTAAAAATGATCTGTGACATCATTTCTAGTGACATGGAGGAAATAAATGTAAAAAGCAGAATGCAAAATTTTATACACAGTAAGTTCATACCAAGGTTTAAAAAATGCAAAGAGATTACAAGACAGTCACTAAAATATTAAAAGTGGTTAACTCTTAGGGGTAGGAATAAGCTTATCTGTATTATAGCTTATTTTCTCCATTGATACTGTCATTATTGTATCATTTTCAAATCAAATCTCTAGAATTAATCTTCCTTTTATTTGATAGAAAACATTGTATGAAAACATTTTGATGAATTATTTTGTAATATGTTTTAAAGCAGAGTTCATAGCTCTATTCAAACGCCAATATTTGTATGTGGTGTTAAAATGGTTAAAATGTCTCCATGAAAAAAACACAGAAGAAACAAAATTTTAACAGCTCAAGAGTAAAGTAAGGATGTAAACATTTTAGTTTTCTTTCTACCATCTTTATTAACACATTTAAAAATTACACAGGGGACACTGTGAACCTCGGTTTCTTACAGTTTCTAAAGTATCCTCATTTGATCTCAAGGTCAGAAAAGATTCAAGACACGGAGGTAACTTTCCATAACCATCCTCCTCCACCTTTTGAGATTTCATCGCTTGCTTCTCTAAAGAACTGTCCTTGAAAAGCAGTCACTGTAGATTTGCACACTAGTGAGAATCCCTGTTTTTCTCCAGAGCCAGCCCCGGCAAAAATATTGGAGAGCTGGGCTTCCTTCCTTCAGTCCAGCCTCTGGTTTTGTTCCCTCTTTCTCCAAATCTGCTTTCACAAGCTTTAATCACATTAGATGTTGCTAACACTTTTAAGCATCTACTACACAGTAGACATTCTTTGAAAAGCTTTTGCTCCTACTATGTTATCATCACAAAAACCTTGCAAAGGTTTGTTTGACTCATTTTATGTATGAGAATGGTGAAGCCCAGAGAGGTTAATAAAGTTGCCAGTGATCTTACATCTAGTTACCAACACTGTGCACAGCCAAGTCTTTCTGATTTTAAAGCTGCTCTCATTCTCCCTGGCTGGGGTGGTACTTGGGAGTACCTTTTGCACAGCCTTTAAATTGTACTTTTTGTCTATTCTCCAACGAAAATTCAAATTGTTCTTAAACTTGAAACAGTGTGAAACTCTTCAGTTTTCTATTCAAAGAATACAAGTTTCTTAAAAGATATGGGAATCTGCCTAGTTATTATCTAGTAGTCCTTGTAGTTCAAATAGAATCCCACAGTGTGAATTTGAACATTGTTTGGTGTTCTTAAATTGTTACACCTTTCCCAAAACCACATAATAGACACCAAGAAAATGCAAGGGCTTGTCTTTCTGTGGGCTTAACATCATTTCCCCACTAATCTAAAGATCCTCCTGCAAGGTAATTCATTTCCCAGCTTCCCTCTGTAACTAATCAAGATTTAAAAAACAGTAATTCTCTAAGAATTCTTCTCTGCCCCTTAATCAATTCTAATTCTGCTCCTAACTAGCTATATGCCTTCAGGCAATTTACTTTGGGCCTCTGAGATACAAGTTTCTCTTCTGAAAAAGCCCAAATGAAAAATATTACCTTCCTACTAGGGCTGTGGGAGAATAAATGAGATAATGCAAGGGTAGGTCTGGACAGGGGGTGGAGCAAGGAGGGGGAGGGGGCTCAGGAAGGTGTACTTTCAGCTCCTCTCCTTTGAGGGTCTTAAATTCTCTACTTAAAGGTCACTGTGCACTAAGGGTTTTCTTCTTTTTCTCCAAGTCACTTTGTATTTCCTGTTTCTTAATTGTTTTCTGAGAGACTGTGTTTTGCAATCTTTTCACTGCGCATCACGCATCACGCCACAGAAGACCTTACAGAGTTTGGATAAATTTTTTTCATCTCCCTTCATACTTACCACCTCTTGGCCATGAACACACACGCAAAAAAGGAAGTAAAACACCCTAAACAGGAAGCAGGGCTCTAAATTTGTCAACTGCATAATTTGCTTCCACTGGTCAAAGGAATAATGTCAGAAGTAGGCTGCAAGGGGGAAAAAAGGAAGCTTTTCCCCAGCCAGCTTCCCAGTGTCCACCAGGAGTCAGCTGCAGCCCTGGCCACGGGCTGCGCAGGCGAGGCCCAGCCACCAACTGGCCAAGGGACACCTGTACCGAGCTCCAGCGCAAGTCTAGCCAATACCCAGTATCTTGAATCACAGAAACGCTTCTGGTGACAGTGACACAATGAGCTGGTGAAATGGAATCTCTCCTACTCTGTACTATTTAATGGGCATGCCCTTTACTGATTTGCTTCTAAGAAATTATTCTTGGTGGTTAAAACCCAAAATTTAGGGGGTTAAAATCCTGAAGTCGGAGGAGAGCTCAATCAGCTCACGCCTAAGCTTCAGGAATATGAACCCTGTAATGGGAAAAGTGTCCCTATAGTCTTATCCCTGCATCCACTGATTTAGAAAATGCCAGGGGCCCTGCGGGTGTCGGATTTCCGAGGGATAATCTCGTCCCCCTCCCTCTCCGAGGCCCAGACAGTTGCTGTGTTAGTGTCTGCAGGGAAGTTTCTCCATGCCCCCTTGGGCTGTCATCTGTCTACACAACCCATCCCAGACATCGCCCTAAATAATCTGAGTGGAGAACGATGGTCCTGGCTTGGAGACTTCTTCGGGAAAGAGCGTGCGGCCGATCAGATTCCAGAGCTCAGATTTCACTTCCCGCAGGTCAGATGGCGGCAGAGTGATGTGCACAGCTGGGCCCGAGAAGTGCTGGGTCCCCAGCCGCCGGCCGAGGCCGCCTGGAAATTCTGCTGCACTGACGTGTGAGTCCTAGGCATTTTAATTTTAGATGCTTGAACGCTGTAGGGGAAAATAAAATTTAAAAACAAGAGTTTGAACCACGCACTGGGTCAGTGTCACCACGAAAGCCTGGTCCCCCGAGAGCCTGGCACCGCGTTCACGCCGACCGGGCGCTCCGATGCGCGCCCGCTGCCCGCGCCGGCCTCGTGCTGCGTTCTCCGCTTCGCGCAGCCCCGGCGAGCGGCCGAGC